TCCCTGGTGGTCCGGTGGCATGGGGAGCCCCTGGCTCCCTGTTACCGCAGAGGGGGCCCAGCACACTGCTTCTACTCTTCTCTTCTCCTCTCTTCCAATAACTCTTGCGAGACCCGCGGAGCGTTGCCATGGTAATTGGGTCTCGCAAGAGTTATTAGAAGAGAAGAGTAGACGCAGTGTGCTTGGCCCGCGGCTGCACATATAGATAGCGATATTCGCTATCTATGTGTGCAGAGAGGGAAAGTGGGGCCCGGGACTGCCAGAGCAGTCCGGGCCCCCCAGGACCGCCGGGCCCGTGACAACCGTCATGGTTGTCACCCCCTGATGGCGGCCCTGAGTGTGATGTCTGGTGTGTAGATGTTTGGGGTGTAGTGTGTATGTGTGAGGGGTGCATTGTGATGTTTGGAGTGTAGTGTGATGTTTGGGGAGCAGTGTGTGATGTTTAGGGTATAGTGTGTGGTGGTTTTGAGGTGTCGTGTGATATTTGGGGTGTCGTGTATGTGTTTGGGTGTAGTGTAAAGTTTGGGGTGTAGTGTGTGTGTGTGTGTGTGTGTGTGTGTAAGGTGCAGTGTAATGTTTGGGGTGTGGTGTGTGTGTGTGGGGTGCAGCTTGGTGTTTGGGGTGTAGTGTGTGTGATATTTTGGGTGTGGTGTTTGTAGTGTAGTGTGGTGTTTAGGGTGTGTGTGTGTGGTGCAGCTTGGTGTTTGGGGTGTAGTGTGTATGATGTTTGGGGTGTGGTGTGTGTGTGTAGTGTGGTGTTTAGGGTGTAGTGTGTGTGTGTGAGGGGTGCAGCTTGATGTTTGGGGTGTAGTGTGTGTGTGTGCAGGGCCGGCCATAGACCGGGGGCACCTTGACAGCCGACACAGCTAATACATGGCCGACTGACAGGGGAGCTAAAACAGGTACCCGAGTGGAGGATTAATTATTCTCCACCCGGGTCTATTAAAAAAAATTAAAATTCCGAAGCGGAGGTTCGTTGGTTTGGTGCCGGAGGTATGAAATGTGTTCGGCTTCTCCCAGAGCAGGTTCAACTGTCCCACCTGTCCCTAATGTTCGGGTTATCCACCTGGCGGGTATTGAGCTTGGGACGATACCAAGGTGGTGTTTGGCGTCTGCCCCTAAGAGGGTATTGGTGCATGTTTTAGTTGTTTTGTGATGCGTGGTGTTGGGTTCACTGTATGACCCTGTGTGTTAAGTTATATATGTTAATACAGGACTTGTCATATGTTATAACAAAAGCAGTTCTAAAAAAAAAAAAAAGATTAAAAAAATCAATCAATAAATAACCCCGATTGGTCAGAGGTAATTTCCCATATCTTTTGGCAGCGGGCCGATAATCAGTGCATGGTACGCTGCCGTATGAAGCAAAATTGGAGGGCCTTTCGAAGTGTTTGAAGGTGAGGGAATTTTGGTTTGCCACAAGGTGTTTTCGCGCATGTGGCAACAACTGTGTTTCTGGGTGATGAAGGTCCGGCTAGACCTTTTTTCGTCTTGCCATCCAGGAAGTGGTGGAACAGGCCTGGTTGGTTTTGGTGGGGCTCCCCGCTGATTTTAGGTTTAAAACAGCAGGGTTTGTGGCGGGGAGCGTGTCCTTGTCAACAGGGTTGGGGAGCAGATGGAATGTCAGGAGATGGACATGGTGGGTCTCAACCTCCCTTGTTCTGTAAGGTAAACTTTTAAGTTACCGAATAGGACGTGCCCACCGAGTAAAAAGCCGGCTGGTGGTAGAGCATTTAAGATGATGGGAATTTTTGGTTTGGATGAGGGGGGAGGCGAGACACCAGTGGGTAAAGTTTTGGTGCATAGGCACCTGGTTAAGTTCGTTGGCAAGGACGGTTATTTAAGTTGGAGGCTGTAGGGCAATAAGTGTAATTTATATGTTAATTATGGTATGTATATATATTTATGTGTTTATTTATATTTGAATTAAAGAAAAAGAATAAAGTTCGGATGAGTCCTACAGTTGTAAGTTTAATAAATGCTGTGGCCTGTTTCATCCAATATTTGTTGTTTGTCATTATTGGGGGAGAATTGGGGTAGTCTCCTTACTCTTAGTCGCACCACATTCCCTGCTACGTACATACATGCTATCTCTCTGATTGTTTTTGCAGCCTAAGGATGTCATGTTTCACTTGCATTGAAAACTCATTTGACCACATGTTGTGGGTTCACAGCAACAGCTTCCAGACGGGAATGCAACACCTGGAATCAACTTCAAACCTTTTACCTGCTTAACTGATGAAAAAATAACAAAGGAATATCCCACACCTGTCCATCAAACAGCTTTTGAGTCAATTGTCCAATTACTTTTGGCCCCATGAAAAAGAGGATGCTACACATTAAAGACCTTGTTTGAAGTGCTCCACTAATTAATTTGTATTGTTATTCTAAAGGTCTTCATATATTTTGCAAAAACCTCTGATTGATTGGGGTGCGGTGACCTGGGGGTACACATATGGTTAGTTATACTCACCTGATGCTGTCCCCCCAAGGCACTGCCCTCTTCTTTTTCTAGCAGCTTATACTTCATCCTCCAGGAGCCCACGTCAGTGCTGTTTTCAAGCGCATGCACAAGACTTCATCGCGAGCATCCTGCATACAAGTTGTAAAACTTTGATGTATATGGAGGATGCTCGCGATGAAGTGACAAAATCTGGTGGGAGTAGCTCTGCCCTTTGTTTAGGTTTCTCAAGGTAGGATTTTACCATAAAAATAGTAAAGTTTTATGATTGTCAATGAAATCCCAATGCAGTCTTTATGTGCATTTTGTAAAGAGTTAATTTTTGATGCTTGTTTTCTTTTTCTACTGAGAGATCTGCTTTAACCATGCCTCCTCTGTATTCTAAAATACCAGCTAGTTACTGTTGCTGGTATGTGATGTCACAGCTCCATTGTTGTTCCTCCGATCCTGCAGTTTTTCTCCAGTAATAGTTAGTTATTCGGGTTTTTAGGAAGCTCAGTAAAGGCTCCAGGGACCTGTAGTTCAGCTAACAGTTTTCATAAGTAAAAGGTTGAACTGAACCATGCCTCTCAGAGAAAGTGTCTCTGTCCATAAGGACCTGCTGTGCATTGATTTATGGGATACAATAAGTACTCTAAATGTGCCCTAGAAAGCTATCGCACCATCCTAAATGGCGGATTACTTCCTTGTCTGAGCCACTCCATCTTGCAGGAAATGTATTAAAGGTGCAATAACTTAAACTGTGAGTATTACTTTAACTTACATTATTTGGGATTTACTGTTTTTAAATACATTAAAGGGACACTCCAGGCACCAAAACAACTTAGTCTAAATAAAGTTGTTGTGGTTCCAGGAGGCCCATGGAGGCACTCATACCTCAAGGGGTTAAACCATTCTCGACCAATTTAACCCCAAAGTTGCCTCCAGCGCTGGTCTCCACTCTCTCCGGTGGCATCTGGCTTCTGAATTTACAGAAATGTACCTTTTGCAAGCCAGTTTAGTGACTGAGAAGTCAAAGTTGATATCAGTAGCCAATCAGAGGCTTTGATTAGCTGAGTAGCTCTCAGGTTTTCACTGTGCAGGAAATTGGGAATGGCCTGTCTAAGATTAGCGGTTTAGTGTGCTGCAGTTGTTATGGTTCCAAGAGTGCCCTGGCAGCCTTCCAATGTACGTAGTAAAACCGTTTGGTAATGGTTTGGTTTTGCACCATAACCACTACATCACAATACATACTGTAGCTCTCAAATGACAGCCAGTGATAGACTGAAAGACTGCTCAAGCAGAAGCATTAGACTTACTGCGGGGAAAAAACTGGCAGTGAAAATCAAAGACTGTCTTTGTTGACATATCTTTATAAAATGCTATTTTTTTTTGAGGGAGGAGATTGCGGGGGGGGGGGGTGACAGAGTCACTTTAAGTAAAAGATCAACATCTTGTTTCGGCAGCTAGAAAAAAAAAATCATCAGTGCAGGTTATATCTCTATATTGGGGAATATCTATGGGGCGCGAGAGGAGACTGCAGACAATACCCGTGATGGGTTCAAATGACCATGTGTTATGTATTACCCATCTGCTTCTTTTAAAATGAGCCTTCCTCCATAACTTTGGAGAAATATATGGGATTCCATTGGATCTCTGCAGAATTGTGGCAAATGTGAGAGACATGAAATATCGCTAAAGAATATTAAGACGTGACTCATTGTGAAGGCAGCTGTGTAGAAGGTTAGTTGAGGTCTCATTGATTGTTTTCAGAGACCTGGAGACACTGTCCTCAACGGTAAATGATCCTGCTGGTGTCTTGCCGTTTGAATTCTCTTCCCAATTTCATCACGTAATGTTGCCAGTGGTCTAGACCTTGGGTGCCCAAAAGTTAGATCCCCATATATAGAACTACAAGTCCCATGATGCATTGCATGTCTTTAGGATGACAAAGCATCATGGAAGCTGTAGTTTTAAAACATATAGGGATCTACCTATGGCCACCCCTGTGCTAGACCTAAAATGACAGATTTCAAGGCAATTTTCAATTGCGTCCAGTCTACTCCAACCCATCTCTTGCTGATTTTTCCCCTTCTCTGTCAGTGCTTGTTTTTGGAATATATTCTGTGTATCTCTGTTCTCTTTTTGTTTCTGTTATTTTCTGTAAGTGGAAGCATATATATTTCATAGTTATATATTTTTGTTTGTATATCCCAGGAATTGTGATATATATTGGGGTAAAATAAGCAACTGAAGTAAATACACACTCCACAAACTGGATAATGGGGGCTGCCATGTTTTATATTAATACAAAGATGACTTAAAAAAGAAACAAAAAAAACTCTAGAATCGGCTATTAACTCCCGGTCTGATATAGTTATTATTTAATTGGAAAATGGAACTGCTAAACACACCTCAAAACATCAGTAGAAAATGGCGGATATCTCTGCATGGTATACAAAGTAACATTCCTTGGAAGAAAGAAGTGAATGTGTATTGAGCAGTTAGATTACAATGGCCAGGAAATGTATTCAACCTGGACTCCTGTTTCTGATCTCTCAGGTTTAGGATAACAATGGAATCCTCTTCACCTCCTCCACTTCCACCATCATTCACACCTTCACCTTGCTTCTATTAGGAGCAAATCAGAGCTGCTATAAATGATACATCATGCTCCATTCCCCAGTTGGACATATGTAGAGACCACATTGCTCTGGGACAGACCATAACCCTCTGGTCAGGTTATAACCTTGGGATCACATTGCCTCAGACAGAGCTGGAAGATGCCTGGATTCAAGCAGGAATCAGTGGATATATTCCCAGCCTACATCCTAGAACAAGTGGAATATGAGGGCCCAGGACCACATTATCTATCTGCACAAGGTAATAAACTCACCAAGAATCATGTAGGAATGAGTGTGAAATTGTGACATACAGGATTATTCACTAAACTGAGAATTCAAAGTGAATTTGAGACCAAAGTAGAAACATTGGAAACTCTGAACTTGGCTACATTTCCAGTTTGACTACTTTGGCCTTATGTTTGGAATTCATTTTGGGGAATACCCTGACTGATTCGAAGTATCAGGACTGTATGGATGGATTAATTATCCTTTTTCTGTTTCTGTAGGATACATTCCTCATCTGCCCAGCAATGATCATCGAGGGGGGCCGGTTTGCCAGTCTCTGAATGTTTCCAATCATGAGCGGACTACAGATACGTCTTCAGGATCTCATCGCAGGAAGCGAACAAGCTATAGCCAACAAAAACTGGTTATATTGGAGAATTACTTCCAAACTAACCGATACCCAGATATCAATGATCGAGAGCAACTGGCTAAGAAAATCTGCCTGCCAGAGTCACGAGTTCAGGTAAGTAATCAAATATGCTAATGATTTTCTGCCCAGACCTGCTGTAGGGCAGTATGTAAGGGTTCCAGATTCACTAGGTTTTGGACATGTGCACCAATACATTTGGTATGTAGAGTTCATATGCTGCACGATTCCTTGCTGATTACCATTTCCCCCTGCAGGATATGAGTTCTATATATTGCAGGGCAATACTTTGAGTGCTCCACTTCTCAATGAATAAATTGTATGTTGAGAAAAACCTCATGGATTATCTTGCTATCCCAATGGCAAGGCACCTACTTTTCTATATCCTTAGCGCTAACTGATCAGTGAGTGCCATACTTTATTTATAATGTTGAAATAACCAGTTCATGGATTTGCAGGTGTCTGGCTTATTTACTAAACCCCAAATTGCAGTAAATTGATAACTGTTACAAAGACAGCTGTCTTTAAAGAAATCCAATTTTGCTATAGTTAGAATTTCAGAAATTTTTCAATTTAATTAATTGCTGATCACTGTATGGTAACTAAACCCCTTTGAGGAACGGAGCATTCAAAGTTAATTACATGTATCTGGCTGATTACTAGGAAATATTTCACGTCCAACCTCAAACTAATGCGATTATATGCTTAACTTATTGCATGTGTTCACAACTTGGAGGTAATTAGATGGTAGATTTACTTCATACTGAAGACTTTTTATTGGTAATTCTAGTTTATATTGTAACATTCTTCCATCCCGCTACAGACAATCCACTAAGAATTTAAATTCCTCAGTTCTGATATCTCACAAGGGGTTTATTGCATAAAGGATTCATTCACTAAACTGTGAATGCTGTCTTATTAACATCCAAATGGCTAAAATTTGTCTTATTTCAGGCTACTTGCTTTTGCCATTCAGAGTTTGATGTGTAAACCTGATATTATATCCTATGTCTCTATTGTAGGTCTGGTTCCAAAACCGGAGAGCAAGAGCCAAGCGAGAGGAGGCTAAAGTGGACACAAAACCTGTTCAATCACCGCTTTACCTCATTGGCCATGGACCCAACACCTATCTTTGTCCAACTGCACAGCACCATCCACTGCAGACAAATAACCAAAGTTCTGTCAAGCAATCTGTGGACAGATGGACTCAGCAGAGACATGCTGAGGTTCCTCCACCCCTACATCACATGACAGCCCGTATACAGACCCCAGTCTTAAACCCAGCATCACTTTTTGTGACAGACTATAATTGCAACCCACCAGACCACTTCAGCACACCGGAGAAACCCACTGTGAAACCACAGATGCACTTTAATATGGAGTCATTGTATCATTACGGGTATGAATTCCAGGTGGCAGCCAAGGACTACCAGTGTGCCCCCTACAGCCCAATCTCTCCATTAAGTTCTGGCTCTAGTGACTCATAAGAGGTATTTTTACTGAGACTCCTAGAGTCAACGGCCCATTGGGAATACAATGTGTATATTTATTTTACTGTCACGTTAACCTGTAAAGACACTGTTTGAGTAATTGTTATTAATTTAAAATTTTAGCACTAATTAAGTATGGTTTGAGTAGCGTTTGATCAAAAAACACAAACATATTACACTTTTGGATTTCTGTCTTTTGATGATAAAAATTGTTTAATTTATTGAATATTTGAGTGCACAAATCTGAGATATGTATCACTTTATTTGAATATATTGTGTATTAATTTATTGTGAACACTCTTAAAATGGGCTGCTGTTTTTAATGTTTTTGAGCAGAATTTTCTACCGGCTTAATAAATTTTTATTTGAACTACAGATTTTTTGGGGGGTGTGTGTGGGGGGAGGGGTTATTTTTAGTACAAATTCTATTTTGCACTTTATATATCAATTACAAACTTATGATCAGTTTCAGGTGGCTGTAATCTCATTGGAGGGCTCTTTTCATGGTTCTGTCTCTAGTTCCCTTAAAGATATACCCCAGGCTGAAGTTGACCTAATCTTTAGGGACTCTGTAGGCACCATAACCACTTTAACTGGTTATGTCTGTGGTGATGGGGGGGTCCCACTTAACTAATGGATGGCTTACTCCCCATTAAGTAGATTCTGACCTCCAACCATGATATGCTCGAGGTGGCATTAAGCTTTCATTTTGCACCAGACTTCATTTGACTGATGCAGCTTCTGGCTTGGTGTGAATAATGGCTCCTCTGCCACTTATTTTTTATTTATTTTTTCTTCAGTTTGGAGACTGGGCTATAGTCTGAGGACTGGGAATCTCTTCTAAACTGAGTAAATAGCACGACACTGCAAGACCCAGTCCTTCAAACTCCAGGCACCATAACGACTTCAGCTGTTAAGGTGGCTTAAGTCTGTTGGTGCAGGGTCTTGCAGTTTTATCGGTCTTCAGTTGTTAATGTATTGTAAAGATACTGCATAAACCATATACTGATGCAAACTTAATGTAAGTTGCATTTATTGTAAATTCCAATTCTTTGCAGAATCTGCAGCCATGGTCTTTTGTCAAAATATAAATTGACACAGCCAGTTGACCTGCTTTATACATGGTTATTCACAAAAGTGCAAATTCAAATTGAATTGGTGAGGAGGGGGTCCATTATCGTAAAACCGTAACATTATCAGTAACAACTTTCTTTGAAGTCCTATGTTTGGCAAAATGTATTGATATAACAGAGTGGTGTGTTAAAGGTGAATAACTCTTAACAGTGAAAATGGTAACGCCAAAAAATTATAAAAAAAATATGCAGCTAGGAAGATCATCTAGTGAGGAAACTGAGGGCTTGGTAGTTCTGACTTCTGAGACGAAAACTGTGCTCTGCAGAGCTTCTGCCCTAAGCTATGCTTTATCTAAACAGCAAAGGTTTATGGGAAGTGTAGTACAATGGTAGGTGTTATGGTTTCTGCTTTGTGTATTACAGAAATGCTTAATGAACACCGATTTAATTGCCCAGACTGTACCTGTAACGTATTTGCTATTTATATTTTATATCCCCTCGAGTTGGTGCCACAGCATATGTTATTTTTTTTTTAATAAAGGTTTTACCTCCTGCACCAAATGCAATTGTTTTATAAAAGCAAATTTGTAATAATTCTTCCTCCTGCAAATCTTATGCAAAGAAACTCTCATTGTCTGAGCTTGTCTGTCTATATCCATGATGTTGCCAATCACTTGGCCACCCTTTACTATGCATAATGAAAGCATTGTAATCAATCAGGCAGGTTGATATAGGGTTAAGTATACCTTTTTCTCAAAATGGCGGAAAATCTGCAAATTATGTTATCACAAAATAAATGTGTACAGTACTATTTTCTTAACAATAAAAAGCCTCAACACCGCTCCTTCCCCTGTGCCACTAACAGTCCAAATTACATCCTGTTAAAATTAACCTATAGATGTCCAACAGAGAATATTTCATTAGCATACAGCTTCCTGTAGGATCAATATGGAAATGTCCAGAGATTTGTATAGTAACTGCTATGACACACTCTTAATGGCAAGGGATGGAACGGAAATTGTCATAGATCCCCTACTTATACCATATGGAAAAAGGCTCGGGTGAATGGGACCTCTGGCTAAGACACGTTCTCACTGTCAGGATACAAGAGGATAGGTGGATTACTGTACCTTAGAATGGCCATATCAGAACTAAGTAGTAGGTGTGTGCATTTGTTAATTCATTTGAGATAGAACCCCTTTAGATTTGATTTAAAAGGGTAAATCCATTTAAAACTAATCAAAAGGGGGCTCTAGATGCAAGATAAGCCAAAATTTAGGTTCAGGACTGGACCAGATCCGATTCAGGGATTAAACAAACTTTGGGTCAGGAATGAATAACCGAAGAATAGCAGTAGGACGAGCTTAAGATGGCAGCAATTTGATGGCTTAAGATGGCAGCAATTTAAATAGGCTCAGGCCCTTTCTCGTGTTTGCGTTACATCAATAAATGATAAGGCACAAAGGACTCATTAACTTTTATAGGGGGTAGAGGGCAGCCAAAGATACTCAATAGGGCATTGTGAATGTGAAACCTCTTAACGGAGAGCTCTAGCTTTAGGAATAGAAACCTCTCCTTGGCCATTAGTTTATGGACCCTGCGTGTATCTTTGTTTTGTGATTTCCATTACATGCACTATTTACTCATGACTTGTTTGTATCGTTGCTCTGACTAAGGGAGGTCCTGGTAGCCAAGAAAGAACTTTTACTGGACATCTTAGTTGAAATACATCCAGCAATGGCCTAGAAGGTACAGGGATTGGTTACAGTGATTGAGGCATCACTCATCCTGTGCATATAGAAATACATTCCCTGTCTGTGTCACAAACAAGTTTAATTGTTATGTAAATGGAAGCCAAGTGTGCCACGAGGATAACTTATAGTCTTCCCCATTTTACAATTCCTTTGACCTCAGGGCTCTTCAAGGTCAGGATCAATAGGGACTAATTGGTGATAACACTCTAATCTGCATGATTTCTTATTTAAATGTTGTGTTTCCTGTCCATAGAGTGACTCAGAGGATAGTTATTGGTCCACACAGTGTTTATTCCAAGCAGACAGTTTGTATACAGGCCAGCAGGGGGTGGAAACAGTTTAATGGAAGCGTTCTATTACCTTATACTATCAAAGTGAAAGTTTGTAATGACTGTTCCCAAATAATCCAGACCATATTTCCAATGGCGCTGTCTGTCCCCATTTGTTGTTCTATTGAGTCATAGTGTCATTTTGAGTCTAAGTCACATAATTAACTTTTTATTTTTAACAATCTTTATTTTTAAGTAGAGTTTCCATGTTATAAAAATATGAAAAACATACAGATAGCAGATTTATCATATAGATAATGACTCTCATTGACATGTAGTTACATAGCTGAAAAGAGACTTGTGTCCATCAAGTTCAGCCTTCCTCACATGTTTTTGCTGTGTAGAAAGGTGCATCTAAGGGTGCCTGTCATGCCTGTGACCCGTTTTGTGTAGGTTGCATCCACATATGTGTGCGGTGGAGGAATGAGCTTGTTATGAGTGCCATGTACTTGTCGCCTATGTGTGCTTAGTGTTTAAAACAAGATGTAGGGTAACTTTTAAGCTAGGTCTAGTTATGACATTTTAGAGAAGCAAAAGCGTCAAATACAGTTACAATTATCACCCTGGATGATCGGATGTTCTCAAGCCGCCCCTGTAATGAGTTGGCATCGTGGTGGGTCCAAGATCTCTCAGGGTAGTCCCGTTTTTTTATCCGATGCTTGCTCTGCTGTGTCTGGTTAGCAAGGAGTACGTGTTCTGCAGAGAAGGCCTCAGAGCATAGTTTGTCCGTGCTTTATTCTGTGGATCTCGCTGGATTTCCCAATATTGCCACTGTTGTTTAGTGGGCTTGTCTCCTTCAGTCTTCCGCAGGCCGGCGCCCTCTGCAGACGAGAGCTGGGTGTTGTTCTCGGGGTTCTGCCGCCTACCGGTCCATTCTAGTGCAGGCTGGGTGGTAGGTGAGTGCCAGGTCGGTCTGTTAGCAGGGGCGTCGTGCTTGGTGGTTTGCGTGGTCCCTCCGAGTGGGCATGGTCGCTGCTCTGTGTTACATCCACTCAAGGCTGCCGTTGAATTCTGTCAACCCGGGTCATCCGCGCAGCTCAGCACTGTCCCGAAGGGCCACGGGGGTAGGTGCGGGTTTCGCCCTGTCCCTGTGCGGTATGGTCGGGAGGCAAGAGCCGCCTTAGGAGCCGTGAGTGCTGGATGGGAGCTGGGCTTTTCTTTACCTTCTGCGCACATGGCGCCCGCCATTGGGCTCTCCAGCTTCAGTTGCCGTGTCGCGGTCAGGGCCACAGGGTGAGGACCGGGATCACCCCCACTGGTCCAGAGGGGGGAGCCTGGGCCGCACCGGTTAGTACCTTTGGCTGGGTTCCGTGGTGCAGGATCGTGGGGTGGCGGCCGTCCGCCCCATTCACCGCCAGAGAAGGCCCGGTTGGGGCCGCGTGTTTTTCTCCCCCAGGGCACTCAAGCTCAGCGAACCAGCCTTTCCCCTGGGTCCAGCAGTCTCTCAGCTTTGGGTATCTGTGCTGTCGGTTAGATTTTAGACGGTAAGACATGGTTTTAGCGAGTATGTTGCAGTGGGCTACAGGAGCTGCTCCGACTTGCGACCGTCCATCTCGGCGGTCCGGCCCTGCCCCAGATTTAAATTTTTTAATCTTTCTTCATAACTAAAATGCTCCATTCCTCCATGATCAATTTTGTAGCTTGTCTCTGCACTTTTTCTAGTGCCATGATATCTTTCTTTAGAACAGGTGCCCAAAATTGCACAGCATATTCAAGGTGTGATCTTGCCAGCGATTTATAAAAAGGCAAAATTATATTTTCATCCTGAGAATTAATGCCCCTATTTATACATGAAAAAACCTTACTGGCCTTAGTTTTATTGTCCCCCCACACTATTTTTG